GTTGTGTCTGACTCTTCATGACTCCATTTTTTGGGGGGTTTTCTTGGTAAAGATACTGAAGTCATTTGCCATTGCCTTCTCCAGAGTGCCCCATTTTTTACAGTTGAGAAAACTGAGGCAAAGAGACTTGCCCAGGTCACACAGCTAGTAAGTGTCTCAGGCTGGATTTGAACTCAGGTCTTCCTGATTCCAGATCCACCTCCTAGATGCCTCTGAACATAGTAGGCACTTAATAAATGTTTATTGACTGATTGGCTTTTCACAACTATGACTAGGTGGAGAATTCTTAACAAACAAGGAATAGAGGTGATCATAAAAGAGAAAACAGACAATTCAACTACATAAAATATGAAAGCTTTTTGTGTAAACAAATCAATAATGGTAGAACAAGAGGGGAAATGGTCAAATGGGAAAAATCTTTATATAAACTGGTTCGGTTTTTGAATCAATAAAAATGTAATATTTAGGTTTGGTTTGGGGTTCAACAAATAAATGCTATTCATCCTGGCTATTAGCTTGCTTACATACAGTCTAATTTATTTCATTCCCCTGGGCAGAATATGTTTCTGAACATTTTGGAAACTGGTAGGTTGGTGAAGGTTTGCTCATATGTTCTAATATCCCTGCTAATATTACTTACTTACAATATTAAGCTCCAAATATCAAAAGTCAAGGAAATAGTCAGCTTTGCCCTGAATACTATGATCTTGAGTACAAATGTGCATAAATGACTTTGTATGAATACAAAATACTTGGGAGTCTACCTACTAAAACAAACCCAGGCACCATATGAATACAATTACAAAACACTTTTCACACAAATAAAGTCAGATCTAAACAACTGGAAAAATATTAATTGCTTGTGGGTAGGCTGAGCCAATATAATAAAAATATGATTCTACCTAAATTAATCTATTTATTCAGTGCCATACCAAACTACCAAAGAATTACTTCATAGAGCTAGGAAAAATAATAACAAAATTCATCTGGAAGAACAAAAGGTCAAGAATATCAAAGGAATTAATGAAAAAAAATGTGAAGGAAGATAGGCTAGCCAAACCAGATCTCAAATGGTATTATATAGTGGTAATCATCAAAACAATCTGGTACTGGCTAGGAAAGACAGTGGTAGATCAGTGGAAAAGATTAGGCACACCAATACACAGCAGTAATCTAGTGTTTGATAAACTCAAAGATCCAAGCTTTTGGAGCAAGAACTGCTGGGAAAACTGAAAAGCAGTTTGGAAGAAACTAAGTATAGACTAACACCTCATATCCTACACTAAGATAAAGTCAAGATGGGTACATGATTTAGACATAAAAGATGACAACATAAGCAAATTAGAGGACCATGGAGTAGTTTACCTATCAGATCTATGGAAAAGGGAAGAATTTATTACCAAACAAGAGATAGAGAGCATTATGGGATATAAAATAGATAATTATCATTACATTAAATTTAAAAAGTTTTTGCACAAACAAAACCAATGCATCCAAGATTAGGAGGAAATCAGAAAACTGGGTAAAATTTTTTTACATCAAGTTTCTCTGATAAACGCCTCATTTCTCAAATATGTAGAGAACTGAATCAAATTTATAAGAATATAAATCATTCCCCAATTGATAAGTAGTCAAAGGATAGGAGCAGGCAGTTTTCAGATGAAGAAATCAAATCTATACTTTCTATACTTATATTTTTTAAATGCTCTAAATCACTTTTGATTAGTAAAATGCAAATTAAAACAACTCTGAGGTATCACCTCACACCTATCTAATGTGACAAAAAAGGAAAATGACAAACGTTGGAGGATGTGGGAAAATTTGAGGCACTAAAGCACTGTTGGTAGAATTGTGAACTGATTCAACCACTCTGAAGAACAATTTGGAACTATGCCCAAAGGATTATAAAACTATGTATATCCTTTGATCCAGCAATATCACTGTTATGTCTGCATCCCAAGGAGATTTTTTTAAAGAGGACAAAAATATTTATAGCAGCAAATTTATTTATATTTATATTTACAGGGGCAAAGAATTGAATGTTGAGGGCATGTCCATCAATTGGGGAATGATTGAACAAATTGTATATGATCGTGATGGATTGCTATTGTGCAATAAGGAATGATGAGCAGGATGCTTTCAGAAAAACCTTGGAAGATTTATGTGAACTGATGGCAAAGTGAAATGAGCAGTAGTAGGAGAACATTGTACACAGTAACAATAATACTATATGATGATCAACTGTGAATAACTTAGCTATTCCCAGCAATAAAATGACTTAAAAATTTGTAAGGACTCATGATGAAAAATGCTATCTACCTCCAGAGAAAGAACTGATGGAGTGTGGGTGCATATCAAAGCATACTTTTTAAACATTATTTTTCTTGGTGTTTTCTTTGGTGGTGGTGGTGGGGAATCCGTGTTTTCTTTCCCGAAATGACTGATATAGAAATATGTTTTGCATGACTGCACATGTATAATCTATATCAAATTGCTTGCCTTCTCAATGAGGAGTGAAGGTAAGGGAGAGTGGGAGAAAAATTGAAACTCAAAATTTTTTAAAATGTCAAATTTGTTTTTACATGTGATTGGAAAAAAATAAAAGATAAAAAAAAAGACTTTGTATGGGTAGTAGCTGCCCTCCACGGAGTGAGAAGCCCAATACAATTAAGGTTATATTTCAATCAACGTGTGTATGGAAGCCTTATACAAAGTCAAAGACGTTCAATGGCAATACGAAGTTGAACATTTTCCATGGGATCTTAACTATCAGGGTAGTGAATGTCCAGTGATGTGCTGGTTAATGAAAAAATGGAAAATGAAAATTTAAAAGGCCAGCATATTTTTTGAGAAACTGGCAGACATTGTGATATTATTTTGGCATCAAGCTCTAGACCAAATTTAATGTCCACAAAGTAACAATGTATGTACAAATGTACATAGGTGTCTGTGTATATGTATATATAATATGCATGCATACATGGACAATGAGCTGGGCCAAGAATTGAATAGAAGGAGGAGGACAGATTGAATTGCATTTGGGAAACTGCAAGCATTTTCAGCGATCCTTTGAGAGAGCAGAGACTATCTTATTTTTCTATTTGTATTTCCAGGGCTTAACACAGTGCTTTGCACATAGTAAGCACTTAGTGAATACTTTTTCATTCATTCATTCAATCCCAAGTTGTTTCCTGACACAAAAGCCCATCTTTTCAACATCACTCTTCTCCTAAGGATGCTATAGAGATGCAAATTACTGAACATCATGATCTCAGAGAATCTAAATTGTGGGTTACCAAAAGTGTCATGGAGAAGCATATCATGAATGTAAGTAGATTAAAGCATATTACCAGTGATGGCTTATATGCAAGATGTGGCATAAAAGATACCAACGACTGGAAAAGGAAGTAGACCAGTTGTGGGTCAAATGAGAATATGAACATATATGTAAATATATATACACATATATTTACATATAGTATTTTACAATTTTTTTTTAGGGAAATTGGGGTTAAGTGACTTGCCCAGGGTCATACAGTTAGTGTTAAGTGTTTGGTCTGAGGCCGGATTTGAACTCAGGTCCTTCTGACTTCAGGGCCGGTGCTCTATCCACTGCGCCACCTCGCTGCCCCCTGTTCTACAAATCTTAAAATGCTCTATGAACATCACTTTCATCCTCATTATTCAGCAAGACAAAAGGATGATAGGGGCATGCCCTGAGTATTACACTGATATCACCTAATACTAAAAGCCCATCTTTTCAGCATCACTCTTCTCAACATTTTTTCAATATTTTGTTTGATTTTCTGCAAGGACACGAATAAGAATTACACAGAATAAAGAATGGGTTCCAGTCTGGGGCAGGAGAGGGAGCTCCCACACCAATGAAATCATAGGCCCATTGAAGTGCCAAGCTGTTAAAGCACTTAGCATTCTTAAGTATTTGTTGGTTAAAATCTTGACTTGTAGTCAAAGTACACCCACCTTCTTGAGTGGTTCTGTTGGTATTGTCCTTCTAGGGGGTTAGGATTAATATCAAAGATCAGGTTATGATCTCTATCTATCTATCTATCTATCTATCTATCTATCTATCTATCTATCTATCTGTCTCTCTCTGTTTGTATCCATCCGTCTATCTGCCTGTCTGTCTCGCATCTTTCTATCTGAGGGAAAGTTAAGAGGGGATATGGAGCAGGTGATACAGATCTGGCCTCAGGATTAATTTTTCCTGATGACCATGATATTAGTTCTCTACACCAATGAAATCACATGTCCAGTCCAAAAATTAAAAAAAAGTACACGTACACCCCCACATATTATGTGTGAGGATGAATCTTTATTCAGGAATTAATTACTTATGACTTGACAACAACTCAGATCCAGTTCAGCAAATGTTAAAATGTTGTCAGAACCGTAATCCATCTGAATAAAAACAGAACTTAACAGCATTATGCAAGACATGTTGTTTTTTTAAAAAAAAGGACAGCGATGAATGACAATGAGAAACAACTGATCAAAATTTCAATTTCTAGTCTCCAAAAGAGGTGTGGATATTTCACTGAAAAGGAGAATTAAAATGTAACCTCCCATGAATACAAAAAATGTATTAGTCTATACCTTAAAAAGCAAAGAAACCTTCCCCCTCCCCAACCCAACCCTTTCAGCTTGTATCATCTTTCTATATGAAAATCAGTTTGGGAACACAGCCAAGCACTCAAGCTTCAAGGCTAGTTTACATTGCTCCCTTTCTACAACTTCTTCCAAGGCTAAAAAAAGATACTGACTGAAATTACTTCAAGGTTACGCTGAGAGGTAAATTCCTCAAAATAGATATTCCTATTCTCCCCTCCTCTGGGGTACAGTCAATGAGGTGCTCAAATTCCAAGTGCCCTTCCAGATTTACTAATAACACTGGGAAATCACTCGTTGGTCCTAATACGCTACTTTCTCCATGAGCAGAATGATCTAAAAGAGTCAACCACAAACAATGCCAACATTACCTTTGTTCCATGGTAAAAATCATCCACACATGTGGCATTCATGAAGGTCTGATGGAAATGAGTGCTGGTATCTATGCCCCCAGGAATCACCAACTTTCCTGTTGCATCGATCACCTTGGCTCCTCCTGGGATCATGAGTTCTCTTCCCACTTGCTGAATGATGCCATTTTCAATATAAACGTCAGCTTCATGGGTGCAGTCGTCATTTACTACTTTACCCCCCTTGATGAGAATCCTCACACTGGCTGAATTGGCAAGCATCTTCCTAAGGAGAGAACACATCACATGTTAAAGCTCTTTCTCAGGTTCAATCAGATCACTCCATTTCCCCATCATGGACAAAATGCTATTTCTAAGGCCTGGGTGGATAAGTCTCTCAATCTAGAAAACTATGAAAACGGAGCAAGACTTGCTATCTTGGGAATCATGACATAACCATATAAAAGTATGTTGTGCTATAAGAGGGCCATATGCATTAAGTCTAACAGCTGTCAGACTCATTACATTTCAACTGATCACTTTGGTTTCTAGTCAAAATCGACTGGTTGGGGTTCCCAGAAAGGTCCAGTCTCATTATTAGAAGCTTTGGAGGCCCTGAGTTGATGCTGGTGTATGCCTACTGTGAGGAGCCTGAAGATACTAAGTGAATTCTCCATTCCACTCAGGAGTTAGGTCATGATTTGGTAAGCTTATGATCCTGAAATAAACTGCAACTCCCCCTTCACTTCCATTCATGTCAATCTTACAGGTCACTTTGCAATCATTCCCCTTCCTCAGATCCATTTTTCTGCCCCACTAGTAACAAAGCCATCTCATCACAAATTGCTTCCCACTGTGCAGTCTTTCCTTAGCTATTTCCTTTTTAAAGACTTAATTGATGTCTGTCTTTTGTTTTAACACAAACCATTTTGTAAGTCAAGATGAGGGGAAACTACGAAGTAATATACTTCAGAGGCACAAAGACCATGAGCTCAAGGATGGCCTTTAACATATACTGGTCGTGTGACTATGTGTAACTCTCTAAGACAACAGCTGCAGATGAGGAGCTAACCTGCACTGATAGAAAGATTTTCTCATCTAGAGGCTCCCTAGATCAGTGAAATTAGATGGCTCAGTGAATAGAGCACCACACCTGGAGTTAGAAAAAATTGAGTTCAAATCCATATACTTACTATCTGTGTGATCCTGGGCAAGTCACTCAACCCTGTTTGCCTCAATTTCCTCATCTGTAAAATGAGCTGGAGAAGGAAATAGCAAAACCACTCCAGTACCTTTGCCAAAGGGTCATGAAGAGTTGGACACAACTGAACAATAGCAATAACATTTTATCTCTACTCATCTTCAGTTATACCCCTCCTTTCATATATGGTGAGTCTTGGAAGGTGAGTTACATAGAGTGTATAACACAAAAAATCAGTGAAGTAAAACCAACAATACAAAAAGCCAGGGTGTCTGGTTGTATTTGCATATGCTATTCACATAGCCCTTTACCTTTCCAACAAAAGAGGGCATTTCCTTGGCTTTTCTAGGGCCAAGATAGAATCTTATAATTCCATGGTATATGGCTGCATTTTATTGTTCTTTCCATATTTCTGTAGTCATTGTTTTTATTGTTTTCTTGGTTCTGCACCATTCCCTATGCCTTCACATTTGTCTCTGAATTTCTTATATTCCTTATTTTTAAACAAGTATGCTACTATTTCATAGCATTTGTATATCATAATTTGCATAGCTTTTCTCCCCGTTTTGTTTCTAGTTCTTTGCTATTGCAAAAATTATTGCTATGAATATTGGTATACATATATGGAATTTTTCTTTTTGTCTTTGACATCTTTGATTTGGAAATGTGATTCCTGGGTCAAAAGCAGGAACAATTTACTTTTTTTTTTTTTTTGCAAACCGTTTTCCAGAATGGTTAGAACAATTCATAGTTCCACTAACAGTATGCCTATTTTCCTAGTCTCTCTCAAAATGGATTATTCCTATCATATGACATCTTTCCAATTTGAAGGATGAGATTAAAAGTTATCATTGCTTTAATCTTCATTTCTCTTGTAGTTAGATTTAAAGCATGTTTTGATATGTTTCTTTTTTTTTTTTGTCCTCTAGTGGGATTTCATCAGTGTGGTGAGCTTTAAGTGGGGAAATCCTAACCAGAGCATACCACTAGTTAACTGCTCTGCAATTTAGGCTTAGGGACTTGTCTAAAGACACCAGGAGCTTATGTGCCTTGCTCAGAGACACACAGCCAACAATGAATGAGATTTAGGACTTGAACCAGGGTCTTTTGTGACTCCTAAGTTGTCCCTCTATCTACTACAACCATCTCATAAGGTTCCTATACAGGTTAGAAATCAATGATAACATAACCTAAACCTCAGCCTTTAGTCAGAATGTTGTTTTGCTATATGTATTTGGGAATTTTGACCTGTCAATCATCTTTCCTTCAGTGTTATTATTTTCCTTTCAAGAAAATGCTATTCAGGAGAACTAAGATCTAAGAAAATTCCCCAGCATAGTTGACTCTGTCTTTTCCTCATTGCTTTTTTTCTTAACCCTTAGCCCACAACAGATTCCTCAAGAACCCTATGGGTGAGCAGAACATGTAGTCAATTGAATAACAATCACCATTTAAAGAGTTGAGGTATCACCCTCAATAGGAAAATAAAGTTCTCCTCATAGAGCAACTAAGTAGAAAGCAAGCTTGGACAGTGTGTTGTCCAAAGACAAATGAGATACTTGCCCTATGTGTTTATCACAATGAATCTTAGTAGCTGTATCATATAATTATAATATTAAAATGCTTTACTTGAGAGGTTCCTGCAGAAGGCACTTTAGAGATGACAACTGTTTCACCACATGGCAATTTAAACATTTAAGGCAAGAGTGGGGATCTTGGGCTGTAGGACAGATAGAACCTTGAACTTGACTCTGGCCCAAAGTGTGTTGTGGGGGATAAGTTCTAGTCACCACTGATACAGTTTACAAAATTATTTCCCTCTTGGTGGATGGCTATGACCCACATTCAGAACAGAGGCTGTAGTGGAATAACTGCAAATGCATCCATATGGAGCATTCCGTGTTGCAAATTTACTCATCCAATGAGGATCACAGCCCTTCAGTAATTTAGTAGATGAGTCTTAGGGTGCTGACTGAGACTTGTCCATGATCATATATCTAGTAAATGTTAGAGGTAGGATTTGAACCCAGGGACTTCTAACTCCAATGTGAATTATTCTGAGAGGCAGTGTGACAGTGGATAGAGTTGTAGACCTGGAGTGAAGGAGGCTTGAGTTCAATTCCTACATGTGACATTTGCTAGCTCTGTGACCCTGGGCAAGTCATGTAACCTTGCTGAGACTCAGGCAACGCAGACTTAACTACTAAGTTAAACGTAGGTTATGATCTGTCTTAGAGGAAGCAGTTCTCACAGGAAAACGGATTACTGCTGCAATTTACTCTGGAGCCCATAACCTAAGATACTATCACAAAAGCAGTTTATTTTCTACTAAACACTCACTTCAGAACTTACTACATCCCAACCTCTTCCTCTCCCTTGCTTCTCAATCTATCTCCCTCTCCCTTCTCTCTCTCCTTCCTTTCTCTCTCCCTCTCCTTTCTCTCTCTTCCTCCTTACCTATTCTTCTTCCCTCTCCATCTTTTCCCTTCATCCTTTCTACCTCCCATCATCATGTATCTCTCTTCTTAATTGCCTATATTATGAAATGGAAGTAAGTTTTTAAAGTATTTGTTGTAACTATTGAATAAAACTTAGATTTCTGTTCTTAATTTTAAAAACAGTTGAGCTGAACCTTTTCTCTCTAAGGAAAGGAGGATAGATTAGGATGCCTTTTGCTGTATGTAGGTCAACGGCTCTTCAGGGGATAAAAAGGTTCATCCTTATGCAAACCACTGCAGCTTCATGGAGTCCACACAGGTTTTTCTCTACTCCAGAAATAAAACTGAAATGTTGTTTCCACAGAATCTAGTGTTATGGAATCTTAGAATTGAAAGAAGCTTTCAAGGTAATTTAGTCAACAGTATCCCTGACAGCTGGTCAGTCACCTAGCCTCTGATTTGACACTTCTAGTGATGGGAACATTCTCCCAAAGCTGCCTCACTCCAATTTTAAATCATTTTAGTTGCTAGAAATTTTGAAATTAAAAAATTGCCTTTGACCTATGATTTCATCAGTGTAGGGAATTAATATAGTTTGGAGTTTAAGTGATTTACTTAGAATTGCACACCCAGTATGTGTTCAAGGCAGGACCTGAACCCAGGTCTTCCTGATTCCAAAGTTAACACTCTATCACTACGCAACACTGCCTCTCTTCCTGATACTGACCTGAAACCTGCCTCCCTATTATCTGCTCATTGAAACCACAGTGCTTGGCACATATTAGAGACTTGCTGATTTTGTCCTGAGATTCTCCCTTCTGGAACAAGGTAAAATAAGTCTTATTCTCTCTTACACATACCAGCCCTTCAAGAATTTGAAGATAACTACCATGTCTTCCCTTAATCATCTCTTCCTCTGTCTCCAATTATCCTCATCAGACATAGTTTCCAAGCCCTTCACCAGTCAATGATGCCTATTATGTGCCAGGAACCGTGCTAAACTCCGGGAATACCAAGAAAGACAGTCACTGTTCTCAAGGAACTTACAATCTAATCCTATTTGCTCAACCTCTGCTGCCTAAAATCTAGTTTTTCAACATCTCTTTTATAGTTTGGCATCCACAACTGGATGTAATACTCCAGATATGATCTGGCCATTGCAGAATTCAACAGGATTATTCAGGAGCAAATCCTCCCCTTAATAAAAGGATTTGTTCTGTGAAGTTTGGATTCAGTCAAAGGGCTGCACTCGAGGACCTAGAGGGCTACATATGGGCTTGAGCCAGCAGGTCCCCCCCGCCCCCGGACACTGGGCCAATCACTGGGGTTAGTTACCCAGACGAATATAAAATAGTCCCTCTCCTTTAGTAGTTCGATACTAGCTAATAAAGCTTTTCCCCTGAACACTGTAGAAAAGACTTGGTTTCCAGGTCACCTAGGCTGGAGGCTATTGTATTTGGACGCTGGGTTAGATAACTCCTATGTAGTCTCAATACTTCAAGCTTCTCAACTGGAGCTAATGATGAGGATATAAAAAACAACTCACATTTATAGAGTGCTTTCCAATTTGCAAAGTACATTTGCTCATCACACTCCTGTAAAGGGGAGAGATTAAGAAAAGCACCAGTGGCTGGCAGGCGGCAGGCT